TCTCTAAATAGGAATTCGACTTGGTTGGAGTCTGAGGTCTCACTACTAGACATGCAAGTGAAATAAAATTAAATGCAACAAATATCTAAAATAAATAAAAATAATAAAAATATAATGGCAAACAATAAATCTACAAGACAACTATAGAATGGAACAAATTTAACCAAAAAAAGAGATCTCTAAGTAGCCCGTTGGTAAATGTGGATTCTCCCTTCTTTGTCTTCTCAAATTGATCATTAAAATTCCTCGGCAACGGCGTCAAAAACTTTCTTGATCCAAATTAGGTGCACCAAAGTGCAAATGGTTAAGTGTAATAAAACTCAGTTAAGTTTGAGGTCGTACTACAGAAATCTGAAGGAATTTAGGAAGTGGGTAAATCAAGAACTAGTATAATTGATATAAAATTGAAGTTGTTTGAAAGAATAAGAGCAAAAAAATTAAAAGAATTTATTATGATTATTATGGTAAATCAAGCTCACCGGATATTTATGATTATTCAATTTATAACTATCTCAGTTGATTTCTAACATTATGATAGTCAAACAAAAATATGGCTTTAAAAATAATAGATTTTATTGATTTGAAAGAAGAGTTGAAGATCTAGTTCTATAAGACTCGTAGGGAATCATAAGTATTATTCATAACAGGAACTCAATCAAGTTAATGAACAATCAAACACTTTTACAGAGTATAAAACTTTGCTAATAAATCATTCAATCAATCTATGAAATTTAGTTTTAACATTAAAGACTAATTATAAAAATTATATAACATAAATATTCAAATCCCAATCATAGATATGTATCGTATCTAAAGCGTACAAGGAGAATTACTCACAAGACATGATAAATCTCAAGAAATCTAAAAAAGACGTGTAAAATAACTAGTTGGAGGAACCCCTCTCAATGGAAGAAAGGTTTTATTTATAGTAGAAGGGCTAAGTCATGTTTTGGGAGGAAGTCTTTTTTATTAGGAGTCTTCTTTAGGTTAGAATTCGGAGTTGATCTCAATGGCGTGACCGGACGGTGGCACTCGCGTCCAGACATTTCAAATTCTCTAGAAAAGTCAGATAAGTAGTAACGTCTAGATGTTAAGGGTTTTGTCTGGAGAGGTCTCCACCTCTTCTCAAAATCATGTCCAAACAACTTTTTTAGTGTCTAAGTATTTGAAATTCTCTGGAATCAACAACTTTATGCCTACATCCAAACGGTGAGACCTACGTCTGGATGTTCTTCTAGACTTTTCATCTCGAAAATCTCAACACAATATTGTCAGCATACTTATCAAGCAATCATTGCATTTGAGCAATGAAACTTGCGTCTGGACAGTCTTATGTATTTAAACTTCCTTGATTTTTGTGCTCTTGTACGTTGGGATGGGTATGGACCTTTTCACATTGCATTCAAACTGGTCCAAATCACACCCATCACTTAAATTTGTCATTTAAGCCTTCCTAGGTTTAATTTGGTCCTTCTTCAATTGTCCACTTTACCAAGTTTGACCAATAATGCTCTAAAGCATCCATTTTGTCCGCAAAAACACTAAAACAAGAATCAAAGTGAAAAATCCAAGAATGTGTCATGCTTAAACTCAAATATTATGCAATTAACCAATTATTTAATATAATAACTGACATTATTGATGGTTAATCAATAACTATACTTTTTAACAAAATCCATATATACCACAATTCATAATTCCATGATTTTCAAAATAGAAAAATAATTTGATTAAAACATGAAAGATATCACAAAGAAACATTTTCAATTCGATAGTGTTCAACATCTAGGATTTTTGATTAAAATCATACAACTTTATTGTACATCATGTAATTTTTTTCAAGAAATGAATCATGTAATTGAAAATAATGCGAGATCATATATATTGGAATCGAAATAAAAAAATACATATACTTAACCCTAATCCTCAATGAATAAGAATGAGAAAAAAAAATATACTTTGATTCATAGTTATTTGATCTTAATGCATTTATATGTAATTCCTACATGTTAATCCTTCAAGATCTCGTCCTTTTTTCTTTGCTCCCAACTCCTCTTGGCTTCCTAGGGTTGAAGAACTACTTAAATAGCCTTAAAACACGTACCTAGAGTATTTATGGGGTGAAAATCGGTTTAGGTGGCACAGATCTAATCGTTGTGAAAATCGTGCTTGCTTTTGAACATAACTTTCCCGTTCAAACTAGGCTTATTCGCAATATCTCATACTTTTCTATTCAGTTTTTTCAGGTCAGGCGCGCATTCCATTAGACCCTTTCCCGTTCAAATGGACTCCAAGATTCTATAATATGTCCTAATTTTCCAAGCCAATTTTGAACTAGTGAGAGGTAGATGTCAAAAAATTTCATAAAATACACTTTTGTAGCTTTAGAAGTCTAATTTACAAAGCCATAAGAATCAGCTCAACCGAATATCAAAGTGAAAAGTTATGGTCAAAATGTGTTTTAACTACATAATACTTTCAAACTTCTAATACACCTCACATCACCTCTCCCAAAGTTTTTCGGCCTTCTGAATTCAATTGTTGCCTTATTTTGACTTAAAAATATTTAAAAATTTTCCTAACTATCATTCTCATGCTTAAACTATGACGACTCATATATTAATTAATTGTTGACACGCTAATTAGGTCATTAATTATAATTCTATATAATTGAGATTTAATTTTTTTTTGGAACAAATGGATCTCAAATATATATTCTTCACGCGAAAACAAGTCAAATGACTATAATTTAGGTCAAATTTCATAATTATGTAATGAATGAACATATAAATATCTATATATATATATATGTGTGTGTGTGTTGTGAAAGGACAATCCTATTCTAGATTGCTTTTAGATTTGAAAATGTGCAAGTAGGGAGAAAAAAAAAAGAAAGAGGGGAGAGAGATTACATAGACAAGTGTCCATAACAATGCTTGGAGGACAAGTAAATCTTGGCTATAAATAGCCAAGTCCCAGGCCAAGCAACAGGCACGGCAAAAAGAGAAAAAGGAAAGAGAGAGAGGGGAAGAAGGAGTGAGAGAAAGAAAGAGAGAGATAAATGGAATAGAAGAAAAATTTATGAGATCCTGGAGTCAAAAATTAAGCAATGATTTTCTTTTAAATCGCTATCAAGTTTGATTATGTCATTCGCGGTATTTCGAATTTCACATTTATTAAAGTTATTGCAGGATTGGAGGTACATGGTAGTATACAATATGCTCCTGTCTTTTAAATTTTTTTGCAAAGAGTGTCCTTTCATTATCTGAAATTTGTATTCCTGTTGATTATTTTGATTGATGTGAAATTCTGTTAATGTTATCGGTTGACCTGTACATGTACGTTAGGCTAAATACTTTGAGGTTAATTGGTACATGTACGAAAGTGTACTTGGAAGCATAATTGGTAAAATGTGATTATGGCCCTGCGGGGTGGGATTGTGATTACAACCCTGAGGGGTGTAATGGTTCGATATGAGTATGAATTTTATATGCTCAAGTGTCACTTGTCATGTCACCAAGAGGACCCAAGTATGAGGCTATGTTTGATAGATATTGAGTTATGTGATTTATCGAATTGGATTCTGGATTCTTTTATCTATGATCGTCTATCGATTGAATTATTTGGTCTTTGGTCATTTATATTCTTTTCTCGTTGAGCATATTATTTCATGTCATATTGTATACTTCCCCGCCTTTAATATTTTTTTCAGGATTATCTCAGAGAGAAGGACCAGAGTTGATCTTTGAGGAATCGAAAACAGACTAATCTTAATGTAATTTTTAACTTTGTGGTGAACAAATTCATTTTTATATTGAGGAGATTATTTTATTGGTATTTGGAGATCAAAATTGTGATTATAAATTTATTAAGGCAATTAGAGCTCTGGCCCTATACTCTGAGATTTATTTGTGGTTTATTATCAATCAATTAATTTAATCAAGTAACGGGGTCCGAAAATTCGGGGCGTTACCTCTGAAACTTTTGACATGAAAGTCAGTACGAGCGAAAATCAAATTTTATGATCAATCTTTCAACAATGCTTTGAAGTTTCTACCATCATTTTATTTTTCTTAGGAGAACTCTTAAGATGATATCATCCTTATTTCATTATTGTACGAGGTCTTACATAACTCGAGTCCAACCCTAACCTAATCCAAGAAAAATTTGGACTTGGGTTGAGGTTCTTAAAACTTTGGTTGGACTTGGGCCAAAAAAATTCAATCTGAATTGAATTTGAACATTACTCGTGTCAAAGTTTCAAGTTTCTAACAACCCTAACCCAACTTTGAATAAATGAAATCGGGCTCAACCCAAATATATAAATATAGCTCAACCCGGCATTTTTTTTAAAGAATATAATATACACACACACATAGACTAGGGTTTTTTTTTTTTGTCATCTGCCTCTCTCATCTCACATTGCCTTAACTATCTGTGATCTCTCTCTGCCATCTCTCACTCAAATCGCCTCCACCTATTCTCTACCTTTTAGATCTTTATTGCCTTCCTTCACCTATTAGGCATGTGTTAATCAGCGACTCTTAGACCTACTAGACATCGATTTTCATCTAATCTAGATATTATTTTTGTTCTCTCTCACATTTGTCTATTTTTCTCCATCTGGTGATCTCTCTCCCATCCATCTTTGATCAACTTGAATTAGTTAAGCCAAATTTTAAGATGATAACTTGGCAATCATCATATTAAAATTGACTCCAACCCACCCGAATTGCACCCATAAAAAATAAGGACTACCAATTTGGTACAAGGCCGGACCAGGCTTAGACCCGGCCCATTGACACACCATTCTGAATATATTCCAGTTCAAATTATCCTCTGCGACCCTTGCCACCGAGGTGGAGGTTTATAGTACCATACATTACATAAACCTCACACCCTTATCCCCTCTCACTCAGCCTCTGTACCCCTACTTCTCTCTCCGAAATCCCTCCTCTCTTTCTCTTCTTCTCTCCGCCACCACTTCCACAGCCGAAGTGATGGCCTGTTCTTCTTCTTTCATCGGTGTTTCCTCCATATACCAAACCCCATCTCTCGAACTCTCCAAAAGACCCCTCACAACCCCTCCCTTATCTCTTCCTTTTAGCTCCGAAAAGTCCCATTTCAATGGGTTGAAAACTTTTTCTACTCATTTTCGTCCCAAACAGGTCGGTGGTGGTGCTAATTCGTTTGTTGCTTCGGCGGTTGTGACCCCAAATTCCTCGGTTTTGAGTGAAGAGGCGTTTAAGGGACTTGGTGGGTTTGGTAGGGATTCTTTGAATGTTAGTGATAGTGAATATGAATCTGAAGCTGAGGTGGTGGAGTCTGGAAGTGGTAGTCGGGATGAATTGGCTATTTCGAAGCTGGGTTTACCTCAGAAGCTTGCAGAGACACTCGAGAGTCGAGGGATTAATAACCTGTTCCCTATTCAAGTATGTTTTTCATTTGTCCCTACTCAATACTTAGTATTTGTCCACTCAATACTTAGTATTTGTCCAGTCTCAATCCATAGAGAAGTTGCAGATAGTATGAATGTGTGTGTCACCGGAAGGAAGCTGTAATAATGTATGTCTTCGTTGGCAGCTTAAGAAGAATCATTTGTATTTATCAGGCTTCAGTAATACCCAGAATTTTATGTCGTAGATGAACTAAAAGAGGATAGAGTGGGATAAGAATTACCCAAATATATCAATGGTAATGACACACATAAAGAAATGAAAATATGTTAAATATACTATGGCAGATCCTTATTCACAATAAAATGCATTAAGTTGGCAGTCGGACAAACACTGTGTATGTCTTTGACAAACATTGCTATGCTAAATGTTATTTTTGGAATCTACAAGGCCGAAAATATCAGATGGTAAGAATAATTTGGTCAAATCAGTTTTCTCGTTGTCTTGGAATACCTTAGATGTTTATTGATCTAGTGTGCTGTAGTTTTCATGGGACAGCCTTTTCTCTCCATGCCACTTTCACATCAGACAGAGTAAACAATGCCTTTTCATGTGCAATACACATTAGAAATCATGAGTTGGAATAAATGCTGCATTATATCCAGCTAAAGCTCTCTTATCTTGACCGTGTGTTCTTCTATATTCGATGTCATGTGGTTTACATAACACGCGATGAGACCTATACTTTAAGCTTCTTCTTATATTTTTGGGGGGTGGGGGTAGGGTAATCCAGTTTATTCCTTTTCTTGAGAGGCCATTATTTGATCCAATATCTTTGAGGGTAATCTCTCTCTAAGTTGCCAAAATCTCTCTAAATTTAATTGTTTGCCGCTGTGTCTAGAGACTTGCAGCTGAGATGAAGTTAAAATTTTGCTCTTATTTTCTTTTAATGGTGTAGAGAGCTGTGTTAGTACCAGCTTTGGAAGGTCGAGATATAATTGCTCGTGCAAAGACTGGGACAGGGAAGACACTAGCATTTGGGATTCCGATACTTAAACGAATTAGCGAAGATGATGAGGAAAGAGGTTCTCAGAGGTAAATAACATCTAAAGTGTCTATAATTTTTATTGTTTGAGGATTGTAATGCATGTTCTTGGTTTATTTGAAGGCGGGGACGGCTTCCAAGGGTGTTGGTCCTTGCACCAACTAGGGAGCTAGCAAAGCAAGTAGAGAAGGAGATGAAAGAGTCTGCACCATATTTGAACACCGTTTGTGTCTATGGAGGAGTTTCTTATAACACGCAGCAAAATGCTCTTTCACGTGGAGTTGATGTGGTAGTTGGAACCCCAGGGAGAATAATTGACCTCATCAACAGCAACAGCCTCAAACTGGGGGAAGTCCAGTATTTGGTTCTCGATGAAGCTGATCAAATGCTTGCTGTTGGGTTTGAGGAGGATGTGGAAGTGATTCTACAAAAGCTTCCATCAGAGAGGCAAAGCATGCTTTTTTCAGCAACCATGCCGGGATGGGTAAAGAAGTTGGCTAGGAAATATTTGGACAATCCTTTGACCATTGATTTGGTATGTTATTTGGAATCTTGTTTCTTTCTTTTCTGAATGATTAGATTTTAATATATGTTGATTCATAATTTTTGTCTGTATTTCCACATGAAATATAATATGGAGAGAGAGTCCTCTATCAGTTTTATGAAAGATGCCTGTATGCAACAGTCTTGTTTATTCAAATTGTTAGGTTTATGCATGATGAGCGGTTAGAAGTTGACAGCACTGCTGAAATTGTAGCAGCAGGCTGTATGTTACACATATAAAAACTTCACACCTTAGTGTGAACAGGTTTAAAATTTTCAATGTTAAACATCAATATTCTACCCTAAAATTTAGGGGCTATCGTGTAGTGTGCAATGATACATTTTGACTATTAATTATTGGGATACCTGTCATCAACATGGGACGACGGCCTTCAATCTTCATCGTACAATTTAGTTGAAGATATGCAAAATTTCATTGACAACTAAATAGGAGAGACATTGGCTTTGCTTGTTGCGATGTTCAGTGCTCTATTGAGATTTTAATACATTTTACGGTAATGCAAGTTGTGAGATCAATAGGACTGCATTCCCAAACAAGCTTTTGGTTTTACTAAGAAGGAGTGGTTTTCCTGGTACATTTTTTTATTCGTTCTCTTGATACTTATGTTTTCTGGTGAACTGATTGCATGTTTACATTTATTTAAAAGTTGTTTGTCCTTATAGTTTTGCTTTATGCTTTGTTGAGAAGCCTAACTTATTAATGTATGGATCAGTGTCTTTTTCATGGAAAACTAATTTTACCTTTTTTGTCCATATCTTTCTCAACAGGTTGGTGACCAAGAAGAAAAGCTGGCAGAGGGGATCAAGCTATATGCCATATCAACTACTACAACGTCAAAGCGGACCATTCTTAGTGATCTTGTATCGGTAAACATTAGTAATTTATTCTATCATATGTGGGCTCATTTATACTATGTAAATAATGTTTAATTTTGTTATTCGAGTGAAAGAAACATTATATTTTATGTTTCTTAACTTTGGAGTGATTTTCAGGTCTATGCAAAGGGTGGGAAGACCATTGTTTTTACACAGACAAAACGAGATGCAGATGAAGTCTCAATTGTATTAACGAACAGCATCACTTCTGAAGCTCTGCATGGTGACATATCTCAACACCAGAGAGAGAGAACACTAAATGGATTTAGACAAGGAAAATTTACTGTTCTTGTTGCCACTGATGTCGCAGCTCGTGGGCTTGATATTCCCTAATGTTGATTTGGTAAGTTGATGTAGTTGCTTCCGTCCTTGAACACAATGTTGCAAATATACATATCAATTTCATCCATTTGATCTGCATGTTTAGGGATACAATTTTTAAGGAGGTTTAAAAAGTAAGATTTGGTCAAAAATCTAAGATAGTGAAAGGCATGCCCATTTATTATAATTTCATTGAAAAAATAAAGCATTAAAGGCATTGATTTCATGTCTGACACCAAAAATTTTAGTGTAAACAGAATGTATTAGCACTTGATGTGTTGGACCTTCTCATCACTTGTCCATCTGGAAGAAAACTTTCTTCTATATATGCTTGCATGGTATTACTAATGCTTTTAAAACTGATGTCGGTTGAAGTTTTTAGTTCTTAGTGTATGTCCTGTACTGGCATTTCTTAGAAGGATTGCAGACTTTGATGGTAATTCCTGAAAAATAAATCCATGGGACTTAGTCTTCTTCATGATGAAACAAAGATCTGAGGGAGATAAGGCTACTGAAAATGGATATTGACCCATAAAGCACATAACCTACCATATAT